AGAGCAGATGCCACAGCCAGTTGTGTGGAGGTGTGGGATAGTGGATTTCAGATGTAGTCCTTTGCAATACCTGTAATTTGGACTTTGATCCAGCAGAGGCATAGTTGCATTCCTAGCATGACACACTGTGACCACTTGTGTTGATTTCAGGTACAATAAATTGGAATTCAAAGAACATGCATAAATATTTGCTAGGGCACTAAGTGGTCAGCACTGCCATGGCACTTCTGGGATAGCAAAGCTGCAAACTCCTTCCATAGTGCCTAAAACTGAAATTGACTTTTTGGTGCCAAATCTATTTCACAAAACATGGTAGCTTACTGTTGTTTGTACTGCCTTAAATCTCTGCGTCAGTTATTTATTGCGACAAATCCCCATGTTGTCAGCCCTATTTAACATTGTTTCTAACAGCATCTGAGACTCAGTGTTTTGGTCTGTGGCCTTTGCTATGCTGGTTAGGTATTGTAGAATCCTAGTAAGTCTTTTAAAACTCACTGTTGCTTTGTAATATATTTTGAAGTGTGTCTTGCCTGTCTTTCTCAGATACTGTAATGGTGTCTACTTGCTATCTGTCTAGATGGTTCCCTGTTATAGACATAGTTTTGAGAAGAGTTTTTAAAAATCTGACAAGGATACTCTCTGAGATGCTGCTCACATAATACAGCATTGCCTCAACAGCTCACAGAAGCGTCCTGTTCAACCTGAAAGAAAGAGGCAAGGTAGTGCTTATAGAAAATGATCTCTAGTAGCTATACTTTTTTTCCACCAAGCACTGAGCATTTTTTTCAGCCATCTTAAAAGGGCCATTGTCATAAATTGATGGAGTTTGAAAGCTTGTCCGGTTTCACTATAACTTCTGTAAGAGATCCTATTCTATCTTAAAATGTTGTTTATTACTTCCAGCTCTGATATATATTCATCTCTGAATTCCGGGACAAGCTATAGTCTGTGTTCCCAAAGCAAGAGGTGGGGATGCTTGGTAGCATTCCAAAGGAAATTGCTGGTGTTTCTGTAAATTTTCACTTACTATTAAGAAAAAATATTTTGTAGTGACACCGTTGCTTAGTCAAAATGTTGGAAACCAGGAAATTTTATTTGGATTGAATGAAAAAGTGGGAAAAAGACAGAAAACTTACGTGACCGCCAGAGTTTTGTTAGACACAGAATCAAACATTTATTTTCCTTTTCAGAGCTTGTAAACATTTTCAATAAAATTTATAACTTGTATCAATTTTAGAGTGAAAAATGCTATTGTAGAATAAGTTGGGTTTTAAAATATGCCAAAATAAAGTATTTCCCAACTGGACTGGTTTAGTCCAAGAATGTTAATTCAGGTTTCTTGCCCTGTTTTCTCCAGTATATTCACCAAATTCCTTTTTTGTTTGTTTGTTTTCTTGTGGGGCTGGGATTTTGCGTGTGTCCTGAAACTGCACAATTGAGAAACTCCTTTGTTGTTTGCTTTCTTATTTGTTTGTTTGATCAATCCAGAATCTGTCAGATTTTGTTAGTTCAAGTAAAGTCTCATCAAGCAGGGGAGAAAATGGCATTCAAGTGAAAACTAGACTAGGACGTGTTCCACAGGTTTAGTAATAAAGCATTATTTTTCCAAGACATCTTTGAGGTACTTGCATCTCTGTGTATGCCTGAACTATTTCCTCAAGGTGACAAAAATAGGATGTTCTGTGGCTGATCATTATTTGTTTAATACTCATGAGACAATTGGGTTGCCACTTCTTTTATTTGCTTCCAAGCTTTCCCTTTGTTTTTCTCAGGTAGGTTAGGGCAGGACAATGCTGCACTCTTCAAAAGATGAGAAGTCCCAGTGCCTGGGGCCAGATGTTCATAAAATATTCCTTTGATTTTTTTATTTTTATTCCAGTCTCTTCCTCCCCCAGCCCAGCAGCTGAGAGTAGGTCCCTTTTCTGTTATGTTCAGCTGTATGTCATCTTAAATTTAGTCTGAGATTTCAGTCAGTTTCACTCTGAGGGAAGGGGCTCCTGAGGCAAATATTTCCCTTATTTCAGACATTTTGCCTTCAAACTAATTGCACAGATTGGAATAAGTTCATTTTTATGTTTGCTTTTGGTAACAGAACAGGATAGAAGAGTAACTTAAGTGCTCTGTGCTGAAGAAATGTAATTTTCCCTTTGCATTAACTGAGTTCCCAACACACATGGTTTTGCTTTGCTTTTGCACTAAATAACACTAATTAGGTGAATAGTATCAAATTCTCCTCTTCGTAGAAATCTCTTATTCTCACTAATTCTAATGGGTAAATATTTAATCTTGATATAAATATTTTCTGGTAGTTATTTTTACAGCAGCAGTAAATTAGAATTCCACAGTGCGAGAAGCCCTGAACAGGGGCTGCACAAAGGTGTTAAACCCAAGCCTGTTAGTGAATTAAAATAGAAATCACATCAAAATTAGTCTTGACGATGGAACATTAAAAGCCTGTGAATATTTTCAATAGCCATGATTGCATCATAATTTAATACATCCTTTCTCACATTTATTCCAGTTTTTCCACAACATCTGCCTCTTTTATTCTCAGCTGCTACCACGATAGCCCCTCAGGAGAGCATAATCTCTTTAGCTGCGATGCAATAATCTCCTGCTAGCATAAGAGTGGAAGACAAATAAATTGGAGAATAATGCACATTTTAAAATATTTTCCCTTCTCCTCCTCAGACTGGAGGCTTAAAAAAATTAAGAATAATTGTTTTATTGTCTGTAAATTGTAAAAACTATTAAATCACGGTTAACCGAATCTTACAGTTATTTTTTATTTTTCATAATAAAAAAATCTTCTCTGTTGCATTTCACTATTGAAACAAAGCTGGCAGTTCTTGCCAGCTGGAGAAAATCCACTACTAGAGAGGAGCTTATCCCACCCAGTTTATTGCTGCAACACTAGGAACCTGCTTCACATTGATGTCGAGTTTCAGACAGCGCACAATGGCTCTCTGAGAAGCTAATGCACGCACACTGCACACTCCAAATAGGCTTCAGTTATGCTGGAGAGAAGACAAACGCACTGGCAGAAATAAGTTGTAGCATGTTGTGACAATACGTCCCTTTCCAATCCAACAGCTGGAAGCAGAAAGGTTGATTGAAGATGAAAGGGGATCCCTCCAGTACAGGTTCCAGCATCCTTGGGAACCAGATGGACTGAAATGGAAAACAGAACTAAAATAGGCCACAAAATTCACTGCCAGAAGAGGTTTTCTTTTTATTCGTGGCAGTGCCAGGTTTTACTAGAAAGAAATTTGCCATGTCAGAAACTGAAGATAGGAATGAACTGGAACCACCTTTGCTCTCTTCCCACCAGTGGAGGATTGTTCCAGGTATACTTTCTCATCTTTGTGTAGCCTGATTTTTAAAGACTCATGAAATAAAGCATTTTATCTGCCATTTTTCATTAATTTCACGACTGCTTTAGGAGAATTTTTCTAAAGTATCCAGATTACATTTCCTTTTTTATTCTCATTACTTTTAATTTTATCATCTTAGACTCCCTCGGGCAGCTTTTCCCAGTGCCTGCTTTTTGCCATTTCATATTCTCCTGTGTAGCTGTTATGTTTCTCTGCAGTTGCCATGATATTTTTTTGTAAGACCTCTTGTTTAATGTCACTTGCAGGTATCATTACTATTCTATTCATGTCCCCCTTCCACTAATGAAGATATGAAACAACAGACTTTGCTCTAACTAGGTACTTCCTGTCAGCTTCCTAGGCTGCTCTTTATCAGTAGTCTTCCTTTTATGGTCCTTCAGTTTGCCCTCATTCCCAATGACACTGCTCTTATCTTAAGTCTTCCCAAATTAATTTGTCATGTAAAAATTTCTGACACACTGGAGAAGAGGTTTTGCTGATGCTTTAATTCAGCTTCTCCTGCTTTCCCTTCTTCTACACTATAGATTTTGTCCAGACAAAAAGCAACAGAGGGATAACAATGTATGTTGAGATAGTTCTTTTCCCACTTGTAGTGTAACTTTCTTATCTGAGGATCCTGCTCTATGAACACTTGCTGCGGTACTGGTGGGCACTCTCAAAGGCTAGGTTGTAGCCAGCACTGAATCTGTTACTCAGAATCAAGGATTAGATGTGTCAGGTGGTTAACTTCTTACTAGGTGGAGTATGAGCTGCAATTTCATCTTAGGCAGCATATATATTGCATCCTATGCAGTAAGCATTAAGGGCTGGATTTTGCCACACACACCTTGAGTAAACTGTTTTATATGAGTGAAAAAAATTTTATTTGTCTCATCCTAATCTTAATTCTAGGCCAGATAGAAATTAATTTAAACAATGGGATTTTGGAAGAAGCCATATTCAGTGTGAAGATGGCAGAAATGGAGTCACATAAGATAAGTCAGGATTGTCTCTACCCTTTCCCTAGTAGACAGTGAAATGAAAGAATGTCCTCTCAGAGCCTGTAGCTTTTCAGAGTAAGGAGGGGGGAGGGTCACTTCTGAGTGTTAAGAGGGTGCTGCTTTCTTTCTTGTAGGATATTGCCTAACTCTCTTTGGAATGATAATAACCTCTGGATGGAGTTAACCACATCATGTGAATCACCATTATTGGTTCATTCTTTTTAGGAATAATTAAGTCACAATGAAATCAAGCTGTATCAATTAAGACTAATAGAAATACAGCATCCTTCTCTTGACTCTCTTTTTCCCAGTTTCACTCCTCTTTAGTTACTTTAGGCTTCTTGCAAGCCTGTATAACTTAGCATTCATTTGTACGCCATCTCACCATTTGTTCTCTACAGCCTCAGGTGTTCAGGAAAGCTTTCTCTTATGGCCTCTTGAAATGTGAAGGTTTTTTTTAGTCTGTCTATCTCCTGTGATAGCATAGGGTAAGGACTGAAGTTTCCACTGAGATCTTAGCTCATGTCCTTGTTTTACCTGCTGATTCAGCACATGGACAGGATGGGCCCTGTCTGGCATGTGACATCATGGTTTCTCTTGTTCTCTGCGCTGTGTTTTCCTTCAGGGGTTATCTTGCTGCTTCTCGATAAATTACGGAAGATGAAATGGGAGCAGATGTGGAGACTGACAGCAGAGCGGGAGTTAATGAGCATGCTATCCACTTCACTGGCTGACCAGGTGAGTAGGATGTTGCAGAGGAGTGGTACAACCACTGTTCTATGGACTGAGGAAAGTGAATAGGATGCTGGAAAAGGTGGGGAAAAGGTACTGTGCATGTAATCATCATTTGTTGAGTTGTCCTGGAGAAAAGGTGCAAGAGAGGAATGAAAGTTTACTCATGAGATTTTTCTTACTACACTGACATTTTTACTACCTCTGCACAGATGATTCACAAGATAGACAAACGGTGTTTTCAGGCTTTAATTTTCTGTCCTCCTTTCTTCAACAATAAAACTTTTCAGACATGAGAAGTCCAAATATACCGTGTCTTTTCTTGCTGCTTATTGTCTAAGCAGACTTTAGTTTTAAGAGCCTCCAGATACTTCTTTACAGTTTCTGGCAGATGAGTCCCAACAGTCTTTCAATGTACTCCTTGCCATAGCACCCCTGTGAAGACAAAAGCACTGCTTTCTTCCTGCCCTGGATGGGAAACTAAGGCCAAGAGAAAAAGTAGTGTGCCTATACACAGAAATGCATATTTACTCTTCTTGTGCTTCCTGCCAGCTGTCAGTTTTAAATCCTGAATCCCTGTTTATATTGTACTTGACCTTAACAGATAAGTCTTGCTCAACAGCTCGAGTGTATTAATTCAATTCAGCATCATATTTAGATATTTTTACTGCTGAGCTATATCTGGTTAATGAGTCCTGGGGTAAAGGCTGGATTTGATGATCTTAAAAGTCTTTTCCAACCCAGTTGATTCTGTGATTCTGTGGCTAGTCACCACTAAGGAAGCATGCTGCTTACTGTGCACATAGAGCTGTGCACTTGTGTACAGTATCCTTGCAGGTTGATCCAAAACCTACTGAAGTTCATCAGAATGATTCTTAGAACTTCACTGTGTTTTCAGTCAGGTCCTGAGCTGCTGTCTAATACTTGTATGGGGCAGAATTTTGCAGAGCAAACCAAGGTTGCTAATATCCTACCTAAATACCTTAACTATAAGACTGTCCTTATAACTTTTCCAACCGGATGGCTCTACAGAGAAAGAACACATTCTGTCCCTTTATGGTGTAGGCTGTTCTGCAGATCTGTCCTACATGCCCTTTCCATGAAATACCTAGAATACTTGTAGCAACAATGAAATGTTAGCTAAAATCTCACATAGTAATTCACCTTGAAGCAGCACAACTGCCAGGATTAGTTTCATCCCTTTTATTGAAAAGTGATGCAGTACTTACTAACAGCAGACAGTTTGTCATTTACTGCTTGTTACTCTCCCTAGTGACTAGAACAAGAACCACATCTTTTGCCAGCAGTACAAGATACATGTTTTGAAAACTTTGCTGGAGTCCATTAGCTCTGTGTGTCAAGAAAGCCTGTTCCTCTTGTTCAGACCTATACATCACGCCTTAGATTGATAGCCCCCTCTATGGAAACAATGACAAAGCAAGGTTTGCAGAGTTCAGCTCACAAACGAATTGCATCTCTACCTGTGATGGGGAGAACAGCCAGCTCAGACTTAGGGAGGGGTTGATACCTCCTCACTATAGAAGCAATGTACCCTACTGTTTCTCTGGTTTTGTCTGATAGGATATCTTCAATGCAGTCATCAAACAAAATCCCTTCCTTGTCTACCAGCTCCCATGTTTCTGGAATGTACAGCTGTCTGATCACACCCGTTCCGAGCAGTGCTACAGAGATGTGTCTGACCTGAAGGTATGTTTCACAGGAGGTTGGATGGGTGGTATCCTTTGGGACAAGACTCTGCTATGACAGAAAGATGATGTCCATTGAGTTGGGGGGTTGAAATAACACATACGGTTTGAGGACAACCAAGCAGGGGAAGCAAATATGACTTTGGCTTTGTGCATTTTGACTGTTAGAAAAGTCAAGGATGGATGCTGCTTTGGGGTTTGGCAAGGTGTTAGAGTAGCCCTTCACCTTTTAACGTTCTATACCTGTCACCTATGCCACTGCACTTTACTGCTGAGTTCCTCTTGCTGTCCCTGTATTAGCTCTTCCTATCCAAAGAATATGAAACCGTTTTCTTTTTGTACTGGACAAGTTTTAAACTCTTTAGTCAGCATCATTTAATAGAGTGAAATTCACAAAGAGGGTTGGGCAGACCCTCGCTAGAAATACAGTAGCCAAAATTCAAAGACCTTGCACACTTCTTATTTAGCTTCCTCATACACTTAACCCAACCACACATTTTCCCAGGATTTGCCCTTGAAAAAAGGCTGTATAGAATACTATTCATTTAATAAAGTCAAGCTATAGTATCAGCTTAATAGCACATTTTCTACTATTGTCAAGTAGAATATAAAAGCAGGATGGATTCGAACAATATGGATAAATTAACATCAATTGTTCTGTGGTCATTTTGAAAGGCCAGACTCAAATGTAGCATGCAGAGAGTTCAGAATCAGAAGCTGATTGTGCTTCTACCAGGTGTAGAATAATGCTGGCTGGCTAAACAGCAGTAGATTCCATCAGAGCAGACTAACGGCATCAGAACTACCTCAAGTTTTTGGTGATCCATTTTAAAATTCAGTTAAGATTCATATACTTAATTAATGTTCAAAGAATACTTTAGTAAGTAAGGTTAAAAGAGAAAAAAAAGAAAACTGCAGAACCATAGAAGAGGTTGCAAGAGACCTCTGGAGAGTGCCCAAACCCTGCTCAAAGCACTTTAGATCAGGTTGTTCAGTGCCTTGTGCAACTGAGTGTCAAGTTACCAAAGACTGAGGTTCCACAACCTTCCTGGACCCCTGCCCCAGACTTTGACCATTCTCCTAGTGCATTGCATTTCCTGAATCTAACCAATTTTTCCCTGGTAACAATTTGTAGAGTCAGCAGGAGTATTGAGTATTAACATGAAATACTGGATGAATACTGAAAAGCAATCACACTGATTTCAAAAGCTGCATTTCCCCAGAAACAGAAGAGCTACTACATGGGTTAACTGGCACGTCAAAGCTGGCCAATATTACTTGAATTTCATACATAAGGTATTTACAACCAACTGTTCAGGTGTGGTCCCTAGAAGGCAGCTTTTAAAGTTAGATCGGTATACTGATCAGTACACTGATAACTCAATGTTTTATAATTGATGGTTGTAGGGCAGGATCGACACAGGGACTGAAAAGCATCATCGTTTTATGACTTGTAACAAAGTTCTGGTAGAGATTTAGTTCTGTGCTGATGCTGAGAATCATGCATGACAGCAATTGTAAGGCCTGAAACAAAAGAAGAGAGGTAGTAACAGGGAAAATGTTTTCTAAAAGGTGAAATTTACGAAAATACACCTCCTACCTGGGAGATACCAAAGTATTTTTCTGTGACTTAGAGGCTGATGTTAATTCATATGATCCACTGAGACAATCAGATTGGATTCAACACAAGGTTAAGACACATACATGAGAAAAAATATTGAAGCTAATAACTGAGGATCTAGGGCTTGGTCCAATTGCCTAAACTTAATTAGAGTTATCATCGATACTCTCAGATATCTATGTGGGACTGGCAGATACAACACAGACCTACAGGAGATGATGTAGGTCTGTGTTGTATCTGTATCTTTTGGTAAGGCAACTGATGGGCCAGCGGGATAACACCAATGTGCTTCCAGTGTTACTATGTGCCTGTATTTAGGGAGCTCAGTTGTGATCCCAGCGAATGGTTCTGGAGGCTGGTTAAGCTCACCTGAGAGTAGACAACTGACAACTAATTGGGCAAATCACTTTTTAGGCTCCAATGACTTATCTGCTTCAAGTGTGGGTCATCTTGCTCATGTGTAACATCTACAAATAATTATTTAGTAGAAGTATCTTAAAATCAAATTGAAACTTCACTGTCAATTAACAAATTTATGTTTACAGGTATAACTTGGGCTTGGTATTTAACAGTCACACTGTCAGTTCTATTACAACATAGGCAATGAAGTCTAAGGTGCACAGTATCCTCTGCTGGCTTTCTGGTCTGAGATATTTTATGCAACAAGGGGTGCAAATACATAAGCAATTTCTTCAGCTGAAATGGACTTGCTCACACTGCTAAAATTACCCCTAAATACTGAATCAGGGCTGAAACTCTTTGCTTTGAAAGAGAGGCCGGAGCCTTATCATCTAGTGCACATTAGCCCCCTGGTTTCAGTAAAGCTCTTCCTATATTCAGCAGTTAAAGAACTAGCCCTCAGGCAGCACTGTTTAAAATTCTTCATGCAATTAAAAAAAATAAGTATAAACCAATTAAAGCTGTGATTTGCACTGTGGAAATGAGCAGAATTCTAGTTCTGAAAAGAAACCGTCTGGTTTGGTATGTTATCCTCTCAAAAAATCAACAGATGTCGTTAGCCCGAGTTAGAAAATATACTCTTAAAAAAATCACCAAAGTTAGTCAGTTCCATGGCATTTAATATAAATCGTATGACACAACATATTTGGCACATCCTGTATTTCATGGTAAGACTGGAATAGGAAACGAGGTAAAAGAAACCTCCAGGGTAAGAGGGAGAGAAAGACAGACTGTGAAGTTTGTACTGGAGGATTAAGATGAATAGCATAGGAAAGAAGGAAATTCAGGGAGAAATTTAAATTCCAAGGTAAAGCTGTCCCAGTTAAGTTTTCCTCAGTCAAATCAGACTGCATTCCTCAAGTCAGACTGAAAAGGAATTGATTTAATTCCATCCAGCCTCAAAGACCATGGAACTTGAGTATTTGTCATCTCTTACAGCACTGTGTCAGACTTGGACCCCCAGGGCTGACTGCTGTTCAGGTCACAGGGGGTGTATATACACACTTCTTTGCTGCTTTGGTTGCATTCATGCAAACACAAGATGGCTGGCATACTTTTTGGAGCACTTGGATATTTCATATTGCTTGAAGAAGATTCTAATCACCTTTTTCTCTTTATAGAACTCATTAAGTTGCATCTCTATCCATTTTGTTGGGGAAAAAAAAGAACCACCAGGTTTTTTATACTGTTTTATGTTAGAGGTCAGACTTATCTCCTGTGCCATACTCTGTAGTGCTAGATGCCACACTGTACACAGCTAGATGGAAGTCTGTGGGTTTTGTTCTGCTGTCCATGGCATATGGAACCAAATCTTACATAAACAATTACAGTTACAGAAGTCTTCTTTTTCCCACCCCAAAGGCACCTGTAATAAAGGTGGTTTGCATCAGTCAAGAATGTCTTGAAATGAACAATTTTAATAGAAACAAAGAGTAGGCTAACGAGGAAGCAGATGCCCTTTAATTCTTTTTGCCAAGTAAGCCAACTGCAATTTCTAAAGGCCAGAGGTGATTGGTTTTGTATGTCATTTGTTACACCTTGGAGAAACACTCAGGAATTGTTACTGATGACTGGCCTAAAGATATGGAAGTGCTAATAGTCATTCCATGTAGGCATCCACTGTCTGTCTTGCTTATCTCAGCTCTTCACATGTTCCTCAGTAGCTTGTCTGTGAATAAGCATGTGTCCTAAAGGTCCATACCTTGCTGGGCTTCAGAGCCTGTAGGGATCTGCCTGGAACTGAGGTTCATTTATGCATTACTTTTGGTGAGTTGGGTGTTTGTTTCTTTTTTTGGTTAATAGTTTGTTCCTGTCTGTAAAGGAATCTCAATTACTACGATTTGGCACAAACCAAATGGCAAGAAAAATCCTGTGAAAGAAGGTAATGAATTGTGATGCCTCTGACAATGAATCATGACCTCATTGAATGAGTCAGTCTTGAAGAGAAGTCTGGTTGTCAAGGATACAGAGGCTATTTACACACAGAGAATCTGGTAATTCACAGTCACAAAAATCAGATGCTGGATTCTTCAGTGAGAATATGTCAAATTATTAGACTTTACCCCTCAGCTCCAAAGTAAGAAAATACTTAAAAACCTTTCGATGGCTTTTCCAACTGGTTTTGAATACAGCTGATATTAAATTAGCAGATAAATAATTAACCTCATAAATTTTCCATTCTGAAATTATGTGATTCACTGTGTCCTCCCTGGGAATGTCTTCTACATTTTGTGAGATTGCTTGCAAAAGTTTACACAGGTTCTTGCCTATAACCCAAATACATGATTTTCTTACCTGCCTCAAACATGATCTGTTGCCTTCTTGCACCTTTCAGTGCCAACCAAGAAAGAGCTACACTGGGTGGAGAAAGGGCTTAAGAGGGTTAAACATACCCCTCCCTTAAATGAACATTGAAATCAGTAAGGTGCTTCGGCTCTCTCAAATAGGGAATATTGTGGTATTATAGAGGTGGTTTTAGGGAGTGTGTTTGCAGGCAGGAGGCCTCTCATTAGACATTGGTACAGGAGTTGAAGGTAGAGCTGCAAATCCTTTCGAGGAATAACAGAGAACTTTGAAAAGTACAAGACAGGGACAGTCTATCACCTTACTGTCATACAGCGTAGGCAGTAAGCTGGGGAGTAAAGCAATACCTGGGGCCATGAGCACCAAATAAGACAAGGCAAGGATTTGAATCCTACATCCAGAAGCAGTGCATGGGCCTCTGGGTTGCTGGCTACTGCACTGTGAGGCCCTTCTGCTTATGTAGTTCAGAAATATCATTCTGAAACCTCCCTGATGACATTTTTGTAAAGTACTTCATCCTTTCTAAGGAAATTGGTTCTTTTATTAAACCATATATTTCTGACAAAACACAGTTTAAAAATAAAATTTCCAGACATCTCTAATTGAGGCATAAGTTACACACAGGGTGCTTGTATGCAGTGTGGCTTGGGGCATATTTAAACTTCTCGGTAATACAAGCTTGAAAAGAAGCCTGTTGAGATGCATTAAAGTGCTATGTATTATGTGGCTTTACTGTGCAGATTTGCTGAACATTTAACTCCTGTTGATCTCAGTGGGAACTGTCTGGTTGCCTAAACAAGTAGTCTAGTTTTTAAGCAGGAAAGCTCCCCTTCCACAAAATACCACTTCTACTTACCTGAATTGTGAAGTGCTCATGGGCTTAATTAAGAATATCTGTTCAGTGCTTTGCAAAATTGAACTTCTTTAGGTTTAAGTTTAAGCTGAATTTATTCTTACTTTTTACTTTTTCAGCCTGGAAAGCATGAATACAGGATATTCTTTATTCTCTGATGTTATAAGGGCTCAAGCAGAGTGAGAAATTATCAAGATGTGTCTTTAGGTAAAAAATGGAAGACGTTGTTGTTAAGGAAACATTTGGCCAAATACTTTTGGAGAGAAAAGATGCTTCAGGGGAAAAATGGATAGAAATACCTATAGAAATAACGTTGTTTTGAAGGTTAGCATTAGTGGTTGGAGTATCAGAGTAAAAATATTTCCTCTCCCCACGGAGGACAATGCAACTGGTAACCTAAGGATTTTTGCTGGGATTTTTGTTTTCAGTGTATTTCCATGAGTATAAATGACCTTAGGGCCATGTCCTGTACTCTGCCAGCATATGACATCCTCTGTTACCTTCCATCTACAGCTGTGTCTTCATTTGAGTGCTTTGGATCAGAACCTGGTGAATAAATGGGAACTACTGGTGCAGTTTGCCTGTTTCACTAGGTCATAAGTGCATGGCAGTATTTCAGGAGGCTGGCTGGGTGTAATCAGCGAATAGTAACAGTTGCTGATTAACTAGGATGGTATTAACAGAAATGTAGATAGTGCCAAGTTGCTTAATGACAACTAACCAAGTGTTAAATAGATGTGGATTTTTAAGTTCTGATCTTTCAGTGCTTAAATTGCTAAGTGAAGATTAAGGAGCATATTAGTTCTCAGGAGGCCTTGATAAAGAGTGGAAAGGATCTGTTGGACAGCCTGAAGGTTAGCACTGTTCCTGAGGTATCTACCGAGATAATGGAACTGGAATTCTGTGTTCTAGCTGCAGTTCCCTTTGTAAGCCAACAGAGCTTTGGAATAGCTTAGAAACTAGGAGAGAAAATAGAAGAAGAAATATGCACAGTATTATGGTACTATTCAGTCTTAGAAAGAGGATGTAGTAATAAGTGTTTTAGTTTCTAGATTCGCTTTCTCTTTTTAGTGTTGAGGTAACAGTTTCACAGTCTGCAAATAAAATGCATTCTAAGTTTGAGGGCTTTTTCCTTTCTGATTTCCCTGTAGTCTAAAACTGATTTTTTTTTTTCTCCAGTCAATTTACTGTTGCCTGCAATAAACTTTCTAACATAATGGCCATAGTTTTACCACTGTCTCTATCATGTACTTCACTGATGCCCATGACAGGATGTCATACATGCAAGGATGTCTTGGCCTGTACAACTTATGCTATAGCTGATGTGCAACAAACCAAATCAGACAGCTACAGTCTGAACTGAAGGTGAATTTGTGGGCTGACAGCAAGATAGGAATACGATCTTTGGATGTACTGTTCTATGTCAATGGTTAAGAGTCCTGCTGCTTTTTGAAACCTGCTGTTCTTTTTTTTTGCTTTCAGATATCAAATAATATTTATCTAATCATGTTACATTTGAAAAGCAGCCTGCTTTTTCACTAGACCTGTTTCACGGTTTGCTTGCCTCAGGTCATCCAGATGGTTGCATAGTTCCTTGATGTTCTTTAGCACATCATCTTAAGCACACACTCACATGTGCTGTCTTTCTTGATTAAAAAATCAGCTTTTATGGATAGTCATCAGCTGCATTCAGCTTTCTTGAGTTCACTTCAGGCTCCACTGACATCTGTGCACATGCAGCATCCTGACACGTTTTAAATCTGATCAGCTGTGAACCACCAGCTAGGCCCTTAACAGCTTTTACACACACAATGTATTTTGAAGCACAGCAGCAAAGAGCCTCTACGCTGACAGCTGAAGTTGCCTGGCTTTGACATCCCCCATACAACCGGGTAGAGGCATCAACACCAGTACTTGGCTATGACGTGACGTAGTGTATGTTGATGGGAAATTTCTGCAGCACCGGGAAGCCTGTCCTGTAGCAGTTGCTGAGTTTATCATCATTAGCCATTTCTGTGCTCATGGTCCCCACCGTGAGTGGTCAGAGTGCTGAGCAGGGGGGTGGCTCATGAAGCTATCCAACAGGAAACTCGCGTGAAGTGTAGGAGTAGTATGGAGAACACACAGAAGATTCTTCTTAGTATTTTTTGTCCCACTTGCCAGCTTCTCACACTTCTTTGATCCACTCTTAAAGAAGTTCAAGTTACCAGCAGACAGTTTCCATTCTTTGCCTGCTTATAAAAATGCATACTAGTACCCTGTAAAACTGTTAATTGGTTCTTTAGGTTCCTTCAACTCTGTGCTTCTATTACATGTGCCTGCTTCCCGGAGGTAGGATTCAATCGTTGAAACTTTTTTTGCATGCATTTAGTACCTTTGCTGCAGTTAAATACAATGGATTAAATGTCAAGTTCTTTTCAAAGAAACAAGATTTTGGAGATCCATTTTTCAGTGGAAGAAATCTGTCATCTTATGTCCTAACCTTCCTAAAGCTCTTTCTGTTTCTGTGATGTTCTGTATTTTTAGCAGCAACATGTTATTGCACAGATAAGTTACACTTCCGAACATATGGACAAATGTAAAAGCAGCAAAGAATGCAGCATTACCTGGGAAAAAATATCTACACTGGGTATTTTTGTCCAAGCAAATTCCCAGATTTATACAGCGTGTAGATGCATCGTGATCTTGGTTTGAAGTGTTCCTATAACCGGAAAAACTGATTCGCCGATTTCCAAAATGACTTTTTTTCTTTCCTTACAGTTGCTTTTTTTTAACTGCATGCATGGTTTTTCTGACAACCTGATGATCTCAGCAGTGACATCCCAGGAAAGGATAAAACTTTCCATATCAGGAGATATTTTCATTGGTGTTAGGTACATGGAAGAGAGTGCCATAGCTTTTATGGAAGTATAAACACTCAGCGGGGAGACTGTGTTGTTTGCTCAAGTTAGTACGGGAAGAATTCAGGCTGTGTCCTGCTCTATTCTTCTCCAGTCCACTCAATCAGCAGCAGATAACACGATTTTAGAGGGCTCCCTGTTCCTGTGGAGCAGTGTTGCTGACACCAAGGGAACTGCGTTCCTCTGCTCTGGGCTGCTTCTGTTGTACCTGCTGCACCTCAGCTCTATGCATTCCTTCCCACAAATGCAGTGTTCAGAGCAAAACTCACTGTGTGACCAGCTAGGCACAGCTCAGCAGCTGGCATTGCAGCTCTGTGGCTGTGTCTGAGTGACACAGTGCCTTCGCGCAATTAATTTAATGGATTCAGAGAACCTGCAGAACTCTGAGCTTGGAATTATTCCCAAGGGAGACTTTTTTTTTTTTTTTATCTCTTTAGAAGTCACAGGAATAAAACTGAATACAAAGCATTTGGTGGGGTTTTTTTTATGCCTAAAATACAGCCTCTATAAAATGAAATAATTCCCGCAAGCCACTTGTGGCTCCCTCTTAGTTTTTCCTGGGGGCCCTGTTCTTGTTCACATTGGCAGCAGTGCAAAGTTGTCTTGATGTAAATGAGAATCAGACCCTTTATGTCAGCATTAGAGTTAAATCTAGGGCAGTGTGAAAGTCGTCTCTCATTAGCAGAGGCTAAATACCTGCTAGAAATTGGAATTCAAAGGGTGGAAGCACTATACTGCATCTCTGTGTTGTGTAACACAACTGGAATCAGTCTTGGTTAAAAGAACAGCAAAATGGAAGTCAGATTAAATTCAGTCATTTTTGAAGGGTGTAAATGGGTATCGGAGTTAATTTCAATCTTTTTCTTCTCAATCCCTAACCAGAGAAGAGTCTGCCTGGCCTGAAACAGTGAATCAATTTCATTAACTGAAACAGTCATGTGGAAATCTGAGATTAATGTTTAATACCCACATCCCTGTGTCCCTCGTCCTTCTACCTTCTTCAACAGAGTCCATAACCTATCAACTCCGTGATTAGAGTGGTGGCAGCATTTATGCAGCGCTGCATCACAAATTAGAGCAGCACCCTAACTCATGTGCAGGTAATCCTGTGGAGGAGTTTCAAAGCACATCACCTGTAGAGCTGAAGTTACTTGTGGAGAATGTGGAAAAGCCTGCCTGATAAAAAGACAGAAGAAAGTCTGTGTGGGTTTGGGGTTGTTTATTTTGTTTTTAAGAGGGCAGCAAACTGAGCACACATAAAAAGAGGAGATAAAGCAAATCTGTATTCTAACCGCAGGATGTGTTTTCTCTGTTTTTCCCTCTGAGGTGATTCACTGGAACTCACCAAAGAAGCTGCGAGTGAAAAACAAGCATGTGGAGTTCTTCCGTAACCTCTACCTGACATTTCTGGAATATGATGGGAATTTGCTGAGACGGGAACTCTTTGGCTGCCCCAGTGAGGCAGATGTTAACAGTGAAAATGTAAGTGGGATGTGTAGGGCTTGATGGTTTAAAGGATGGTTTATACAAGGCACAGGTTACATGAAGGCTTGGAGAGTTGGTGCAGGTAGTGCAGTGCAGAGGGACTCATGAGAATTGAAGTCAGTGCTCAAATTCCAGGAGTAACACTGCAAATCATGTATTATCTCTGTGCCTCAGTTCCTCACCTGGAAAACTGTGATATTAATCTTCCCTTTCCCCTGGTTTTGGTTGTCTTTTTTCTTTTTTTCCATTTCGCATTTTGAAAATCCCTATGAAAGTTAACATCACAAACTGAAAATGAGGATTTGAGCTCTTAATTCCGTTAGGCAATTTCGCAAGTCTCACCCTTAAACATAAAACTTTCTGGGGGAAAGGCTTGTTTCTTGTGTTTCTTCTGCAGATAGTGATGTCAGTTTTGGCCAGTAGATACTAATGCACAAATAATGAAGAAGAAGTGAAAATATTGAGACTGCTGGATTTGGATCTACAAGGGTTTGCCATGCTGCAAACTACAGAATGAGTTAATATTTCAAGGTACACATAGGCTGTGAGACTGCAGGTTTTTTTCCACACTACCCCTAATCAAACACAGCAGCATTTATGTGTATCTGCATAGAAATTGCAATCAGAACTATTCAGACAAAGCAAATCATTTGAAAGTGGTTGAAATCAAGGATGTTTATGTACAGATGTTCTTATGTGTGTGTATGCCTTAGTACATGTAATTCCAAAGTAAAAACTGTTAACTGAGTTGTTTATACACAGATTCATATGAACTCCTTGTTTATAAGGGCATTAAACTGAAAGAGGGTAGATTTAGACTAGCTATTAGGAAGAAATTCTTCACTATGAGGGTGATGAGGCACTGGCACAGGTTGCCCAGAGAAGCTGTGGCTGCCCCACCCCTGGCAGTGTTCAAGGACAGGTTGGATGGGGCTTGGAGCAACCTGATCTAGTGGAAGGTGTCCCTGCCCATGGAAGTTGTCCCTGCCCATGGGAGGGGGTTGGAACTGGATGAGCTTTAAGGTCCCTTCCAAACCATTCTATGATTCTACAGTGATCTTTGGATATTTCTAGACCAAGTACCAATTTTGGCTACACAGTCTGAAAGGAAATAAAAAAGCAACCTGTAATACTTTGTGTTATATCCAAGAAAAAAGAATTCTGAAATATGCATTATCTATATAAAAACCAATAAAGCAAAGCGAGTATCGTGTGCACATTAGCAGTTAAGATGTAATTGGCAATCAATAGCATTGTTGAGGCTTGTAGTATTTCTATTTAGTCTGTTGATAAAATGACCACGTGAGATATCTTTCCCTGTTTTTTAACAATAGCACTCATAGCTTGGATAGATACATTTTAGCCTAAGCCATGACTTCCCAGATACATATTTGACCATCCCACTGTCTTCTGAAAGAAGTGGGAAATGGTGGGAAACCAGAGATCAACATTAACTGGTAGAGACTGAAGCAGGGATGAGAGAGAGAGAGAAAGAGCACAGTGAGAGCAAAAGCACATGGAGAAAGAAAATCTTACACAAGAGTGAGAGGCTTTTAGACAATCAAGTGAACTGAATGTGATAAAAGACCACTCTGACCATAAGAGACATCAAGCATCAAGATACAATATAGACAGGGTAGAGGGCAGGAGATAGAAAGGGGGAAAGAGACATTAAAAAAAAAGACACATGAACAAAACACACCTTCATCGGATTTTAAAAATTCAGGTTAAATTTATACTGAATTCCCAATATGTTGTCTAGGTTCGAAGAGCATGAATTCAGTCACAGACTCGTTGCTTTATTTTCCAGAGCTCTGTATATCCTTATTAAATAGATTTATTCCAGACATATTGCTGGGTAGCAGCACACAGTGAATGCATTCTCTTGCTAGTTGAAAATGGCAGCCCTGAAAGTTTGAAATGGCTCATTTTACTGAACTTGTATCTAGTTGACAGACACTGGAAATGACTAACTGTTCAAGCCTGTTTCTTATTCAAGACAAGTAGAACGCAATATGGTATATGGTATGGCTTGTGTCTGAAAAAAGAAAGTTAACTCATTTTTCCATTTATAAATAATTAAAAAAAGAGATCCTGAAAAAAGAATGAGCTAGACATACAAAAATATGTAAGTCCTAATTTGCCGAGAGTCACCAAAAAGTTAACAGCTTTCTATCAAAACAATCAGACACATTAGAAAAGCTAACTTCAGGTAGCTTAAAACTAGTCACTTAGGAGAAGACATTGTTTTTTATTAGTTACCCTTGATGTAATCTCCTCTCTAAACTTAATTATGTCCTTTTTATTGTAGAATACAAAAGCTAAGTTTCAGCTCTGAAATTGTGAGACCCTAGGAATAGGATTATTGCAAAACCCACTCTCTCACTGTGACATATACAGTGTCACAGGTGTCCTACTGAAATACAGTACATTACCACAGTCTATTGCAGGATAATCATTAGAAGTAGAACATCTTGTAAGGTGAGCAGGGAAACTCTGTTTGTCATTCCTCCCACTGCAAGAACTGGGGGGCATGAAGTGGAAATTGCAAGTAGCAGGTTCAAAACAAAGATATTTTACCAACAATGTAATGAAGCTTTGAGTAGGAGGTAATGTTGCTAAAAGTATACACATGCTCAAATGTGACTTTTCATGGAAATAAAATTGGTCAGGAACTGTTTAACTTTCATGCAGAAAGTCCTTGAACCACAAGCTCAGGATTAGGGGAATGTTCTGATAAAGCATCACTGTATACTCTTCCTGCTTTTACACTCCTCTCTAGGCAGCCAGGTCACAGCTGGAGGCAGGATGCTGGGCTAGATGGACCTGTAGTCTGACAAGAAACACCCAAAAACAACATTTGCAGTTGGATTCCTAAGCATATATGTTACATAAAAGGCTATAATTCCTGTGAAGTAACATATGTATAAAGTAGAAATGGCTATTTGATTTATCTTATTGCCTGTAATTTTTCCTTTCTTTGAACTGAGACTATCAGCCCAAAACCACAATTGGCCTTTATTGTGCTAAGCATTGTATATGGGTAAAAGGTGGTCCTCTAGCTGCCTGTGCTTCTCTGCTTTGTGCAGAGGTGAACAAAATGTTAGAATATCTCTTCTTGTTTTATAATCAAAGATAATTACTTAAGCAGTGAATGCGCTGAGCGGTGTTGTTGAAGCAGTGCCTTAGTGTGAGTCTGTCACTCACAGTCTGGCTGTATCTGAATTCCCCTTAAGTTCTTGTTTCGATATGCCAGCCATTGTTTTCTTCAGAATGCAACCTGTAATTAAGGAATCTCATTTGTAATTGAAATAATGTGGAAAGGAATATGGTGGTGGGTACCATTGGACTGGTTCTGCTAACCGTAAGGCCCTTTACACTTCTCATCAGTACTGAGATGTCCTTAAAATGAATGTAGATTATGTGTCTTTACTTTTCAAGGACTGTTTACATTGCTAGAGAGACATAAAGGGGCATTAGTTTAAAAGGTAATCAGACCTTACATTAATATCTCTCTGTATGTGTGCATACATATAATACCACAAACTGAGTTCTAAGAGGTCTAAAGTCAGTCTTTGGATCTTATACTGCACAGTCCTGACCTAGACAGCTCTTGATCTTCAGTGCACCAAACAACAGTGTTCTAAGGTTCCAAAATATTACAAATGGGAATGATAGGGCTCTGAAACTTGAATATTGAAGGCAAAGGAATACAGACGTGGTAATTTTTCTGTTTATGTAAAAATGCTCATATGTATGTCTATTTGTACATGCATGTTTCAGCCTTTCCTTGAAAATGTCAAGCAGAAAGATCCTGTGTGTTGCAGGGACGGGCTGTGGACAGGAGCCTGCCACATGCTCCTTGCCATAGAGCAGTACTCCAAGTCCCTGTAAATCAGTATGTGTTAAAATGAGAATACAAAGAGCATACTCTTCTCTGCAAATTGATACAGTCACACATTTGCCTTTTGTTCGGATTCTGGGTGGGAAATACAGAATATGAACCAAATCCTCCTGTAAACATAGCCATTGACTCAAGTGGACTTTGGAGTGCCTACTTAGTCACTCCATCCTAGTTATTCCATGCTATTTCTCCCTTCTCAGTCCTTCTTTCTTATTTTGATAAAATGCAGAAGATTTTAGGGAAAGCCACAAAGGCAAAGCTCACAATGATCTCAAATTTGAACATTTCCTATTGGCCTTTAGTGCTTGTGTTCAGCATTTCATTCTAAAGGACCTAATGTAAAGTCTAAAATATTTCAACAGGATCTTCTCTGAACCAGCCTATCTCTGTAGTTATGCTGTGAGATTGATACTGAAAAGCCTGATTTTAGCACACAGGCACACAGTCAACTCATAAAACTTCTTTTCCTTCAGACAGTTTCTCATGAGGTACTTCTGCCAAAGCATTAAATCTGAAGGTTGAATGGGACATCCCCTGTTAGTGAAGCTGTGTCCTGATACAAAGTCCAGCGCAAGATCAGTGGGAAGTTTATCACTATTTCCACTCAGTTTAAGAAAAGGACAATAGATTCCCATTGAAGAAGACTTTCAGAAAACACAGGACAAAAATCTCTGCATATTTTTATTTTCAGACTTTCAAAACAACATTACAATGAAACTGTGTAAAAAAAAAAAAAAACAACACTTGCTTAGGTGTATACTTACTAAATGTGTTTTTACTTACTCACTTTTTCGTGCAAACCCAGGGATTCTTAATACTAGCAAATGGCTGTGCATGCCAGTTGGTAATATCCACCAGAAGAACAGGAAATTCTATCAATGTAGCACATACTAGAAATTCTGCTAATCTAGCCATTTTTGAATGTCTAAAACTAGCATGCAAAGGGAACTTCCAAATCCGTATCAGGGCACTGAAGGTGAATTCAGACTGATGCTTTGAGTACCCTTTACTCCTGCAAAATTTCATCATTTGTAGGACTGGGAATTAAAGTTACTATTTTGTGGTGACATGGTCTTTCTCTAGTAATAACAGA